TGATGAGTGCGTGTGTGTGTTTGTACGTGTGTGAGGATGCGTGCGTGCGTGCGTGCGTGCGTGCGTGCGTGCGTGTGTGCATGTGGGAGGGAGAGAATGCGTGTGAATGTTCACCTGAGATTTATATTCACTAAATTGAACCAAGGAAAGTGTTTTCCTCAGTGTCTACTGTTATTATAAATGTGTATATATATAAATCATGTGTTTCAATGTTTACATTATATGTTTATGTACAATTTATCTCCATATCGGGGGAAATAAAGATTGAATTGAATTGGTTACTATCACGTCCCCATGTTAATGTTGTGTATCTCCTGACATTACCATGTCCCATGACTATGTTGTGTCACTCCTGACATTTCCATGTCCCTATTTCGATTTTCTGTCTTTCCTGACATAATAATAACCCCGTGCAGAGCATTGGTTTTTTGTATATTCTTCCCCATCTAACGATAAATGGCGGAGTTTTCATATATGAGTTTAAAATTTCGAAACAGATTCGATGTGTATTGCTTAAAACATATAACTTGATGAATGAGCATTGAAGAAATTAAAATTAAATGAAAAAACACGCATGGAGAATATCAAGCCGATCGGTCAACGGGAGGTAACTCGAAAGTTTTGATAAAATGCGTGTGTATTGTGCCGTCTATCTAAGTGATACGCAGAGAAAAGTGGCTATGTTGTTACAAAGCGAGTAAACTTGCTCGTCGGACTGTTGACATTTACGTACCAAATGGTTGGTTTGTATCTCAAAGTAATTATTTTGAAGAAAAAAAGCCCGAAAACACTAATCTTATGGTAGAATATTTCAAAATAAACATACCAGTTACCATTCTTATTACCTATTTAGGCCTACTTCAGGCTGTCAGTATGTTTTATTACTCCAAAACGTCAGAATGATGTACAAGCAGACACCCTTATCCTGATGACGTAGTTCGAACAAATAGCGAATTAATTTACAAATTACGATAAATTCCGTTTTTTAATCAGTAAAATTTTAATTCCCATACTTTTTTTTCTCCCTTTTTTGAGAGGAATTTATAAAGGCATTATTATTTCTGCTGCATTTCGTTCGATAAACTAACGTAAAATTCCTTTATTTCAAAATCAGTTTTGGCGTACCAACCATCATCCTCGATGTCCAGGGGTTACGCTTACTTTCGCTCTCTGCAACCCTGTAAATGTAATACGTCATTGCAAAATTGAAGGCTCAGTGTGTACCACCTTGTTGATGAGACAAGCAGACTAGTTCAAGCCTTTGATGTACATCAAAAGAATCTCACAGTCGCTTTACGGTAAAAAAAATGACAGGCTTTGAAGTCGAGTATCGCTCCTTTGTAAGCGATTGGTCAGTTTTTTTTTAACCTGAGACCAATCAAATAGTTATCTTCGTGTCTTCGATTTTGCTATGACATATTCCAGGGGTGCAAAGAGCGAAAGTGAGCGAAAGTAAACGAACCCCTGGATATCGAGGAGGACCAACCATGAACGAGATATTTCTTAAGTCCTCAAAGGCCAGTTTTTCTCTTTACACCAATGGGGGGTTTTATCCGAAAAGTTCCGTTGTTAAATTAATGTAATCAAACATTTTTTTTCGAATTATGTAGATAAGTGAGGATTTTAAACAAGCGAAACGTATAATGACGTCATGGTGCTATTATTTATCGACATTCCATCCAAATGTTATATATTATTTCAAAGAATGTTAAATGTTCATTTCAATTGTGTATTGTTCGATTACGCGAATAGGTTAATAGCCATTAAGTGTCCATAACCCGTTTTTTAATTCATTCTGTATTGTTCTTTCAAAAGTAAAATAAAGTCTTCCAGAAAATTACGGTCTTCAAAACCCACCTCGTCGGGAGGGATGACGGTCAGCTGAATGTCTCCGTATGCAGTCCTCCTATTTAGAGCAAAGGGTGTTTTTTTAGAATATGAATGATTTAACCAATCAATTGTCACATGTCGTCCCTACTTTTACCCAAGTAATTATGTAACTTAGATGTAGGCTAAATTAAACCAGTAGATAATAATTATTATTATATATTACTGCTAACAGAGTAAGTCAAACAGCCATTTAAACAAGTAATACCTTCATGCCTTCTTATTTTTACTTACAGCTGCTAGGGATTTATTTATCATTAAGTCTGCCTTTTTTTAAAATTTGATTTTAATAAGTAATATTTTTGTTTTCCTTGAAGGACATGCTTCGCATATTAAACCGATTTAAAATAATGAAAATCGGTCGGATGTTAAAGCGTTATATTGAAATGAATGGAAAAATAGGTAAAATTGGTCAAAACTGCCCACTTAAACCCTAATTTTCTGGCCAGTTTCCCCGTGGTAATCGTGTAATCTCATCTAAACTTCTTCAGTGCAATTCATGTATCTGATACTTAAAGTGGCTTACATTTCCTGTTGCAGTGATTGTTATTTAAAAGAGTCTTCATCAATGTTAAACGTTTTTATATTTAGTTGTATGTTATGTGTTATAGCGCAAACATTATATCAAGTCCTAGACCAATTAACCTAAACAACATAGATACATTCCGAACAGTACACCATCAATATCAGTTACTGCACGACAAGTCCAAGTGTTTGTGGTCCAGACAAACTGATTTTTTGCTTCGGTTGCCAAAATGAACTTAATTTCTTCAACTGGAAATATTGAAAAATTTGAAGTTGAGGAAACACGTTTCAAACGAAAAATTAGCGTTTGTCTATTTCGTAAAATTATCATAATTTAAAAAAAAAAAAAGTTTTACATTTATTGAAGTTTTGTGATAGATACATCTTGGGCCATACATACTCCAGGCGTCATATGATGATAACGAAGCCCCTGGGTCCGCACAAGAACAGAAAACAGAAGGTCCCGTCAGGAGAATCTGTCGCATATTCTGGCCAATGAAGATCTCCAACGAAGAGCTCTACAGAAGAACCAACAGCCAGGACGCCACCATTGAAATCAAGCGGCGCCGGATGAGATGGCTAGGCCACGTTCTCAGAATGGATCAGTCCCGACCCCCCAAAACTGCACTGAAATGGACACCACCTGGGAAAAGAAAGCATGGGCGTAAAAAGAAAACACGGAGATGCACCATAACACAGGAATTGAATGGAGCTTTCATGGGGCGAGGCACAACACGCTGCCAACGGCAGACACAAATGGTGACGCATTGTTGATGTCCTATACGGGACGATGAAGAATAACTAAGTATTAGAGAAAAGATTAAAAATAATCGTAACTAATTTTTTGTAAATTGTTAAATTTCAGCAAATAAATGCAGTGCGTGTTCTCTAGCGAACTTAATTTACTCAGTACTATCCTCTGACGTTGTCTGAACTTTTCCACGGAAACGAAGACTTTGATGAAAAGGAAATTGTGGGTTTATCCCTGTGTACCACAGGGACACAGGGACCTGATAATTTGTTACAGCTATATTTGGACGAATGTGTTCAGAGTAATTTTTACACGTTTTAGGGATTTAGATCAAATTTCGTATTCTCGTAAATAACATTATTGGTGGTGGCATTTTTACCGAAGGTCGATGTAAACCTCTTAAAACGTGTATATACCCAACGATATACCTTAGACACAATTAAGGATATTCATCATAACCAAATAGTGCTCCACTCGTATATCCTCTCCTTTCCTACAATAACCTCGGTTTCTGTTTTTTCTGATATACATGTATATATGTCTGTTGTGTATTTTCCTACATTGTAGGGCTATTGTGTTTTGTAACCGAAATTTAGATAGTTATTTGTGTTTGGTTTAAATGGATTTCTAAAATTGATAGGTATTTCAAATGCTAAGTTTGTTTTGAACACATGCCAAACTGATGAATCTAATTGCGTATAAAGGTATTTTGTAAGAGTTATACCCCTTGACTGTATGACTCTTATGTCTAATGCACTGTTATCTTGTTGCTTTTGAGCCGGGGCATTTTATCCTTCATCTGAATAAACAAAAGATTGAACCACACCCAGAGAAGTGCATGTTATTATAACAACTAAAGCTACATCTAGATTACTACATATCTGTCTGTACGCAATCTGTCCTTGTGTCTGTTACGTATAAGACAGTACATCTGTTGTTCTCTCTGCCTATATTGTTCTTTATTTGTACTTTCGTCTGTTATAAATCCGTCTGTGACTGTGATGCGTATTTGTCTGTATATTCGTTGTATTTCTAACTTTTCAGGTAAGGTTCACTTTTAACTGCCCTCCATTTAATTGCCATTTGTTCTCTGTCAATTTTTCAATCCATATTTCATGTTTTATATAAGCCAAAAAAGCGTTCTAAATACGTCTGTTAAAGCAAAATAAAATGTATTGTATTTTAAATCAATTTAAAAAATATATATATGTCTTTGTATTTGATAACTGTAGGTTTTCGTACAACAATGGCTGTGACATATGTTCAGGTTCCTGTGGGTAAGAAGTGTCGAGGTGATGTATAATAACGTGAATTTGATAGTATTGCGGTTCAAAGGAATACTGAGATGAGGTACTGAAGGGTATAACAAGTTTACATTTACTTTCTATAGACAATCCGCCCATAGACAACCCTTACAAACATCCACTAGATGTCTGTAATTTGATTTATATGTAATACAAAGTTAGAACTGGATTTGTACGAATGAGACTGACGAAGAGAGATATTTTGAAGAGTTAAATGAGATGCCAATATTCGCTAATGTAGAAGTTTACCCATAGTATAACATACATTGTATACAGTGTTAATAACACCGTATATAAACGACTTGTATCTGGTACGGCTGTCGATGACTTTCTCGTATAGAGTCGCAACCCCTAAAAAGTTTAAATTTTGATATCATATCTTTTCAAAGTATGATAATGTAACCGCCATCTGGTTTGCTATGATACTCTCCCCCGCCGGTATAAGTAAACAATTAATGTATTCGCGTGGGTTTTGATGGTACATGCATCCGCGCATGCGTCGATGATGCTGTGTGTAGGATGCAAATGTGCTCGAAGCATCCGATACGTGAGCGATGTTGATGATAAGGGCAGTTGTTGATCGGCACTGCCGTGAAATGGACTTGCATGTTCGTAGCCGGTAACGGAAGTGGAGAAATAAAGTGAACTGGATTTATTAATTGGATCAAGTTAGTCGAAACAATGGCTACACGGCTAGTGGTCATTCCTGGACCCGGTTTCACAGCTGTAAGTATATTTTAAAAGTTTACCATACATATTGTACTGTGTGATCCTGAAGCCGGTGTACGTGTGGGGGCTCGATAGTGGGGGAGGAGGTCGCTGTACAGCTAAAGTGGGTCTGTTTAGATATATATGTAAAGAGCGAGCAGGTGGACGTACCATTTGTTATTAAATATTTCTAAATATATGTACACACAGAAACATCTGTAAAATCATTGTGTTGCTTTAGAGTTAATACAACTTTGTATCGGATAAATTATTCTGGCTTTTAGACAATTTCTTGGAAGAGTGGTATGTTGATAGTGTATCAAACTTTACTTTTATTTGTTATCGAGACATTCAAGTTTGTCTTAACCAAGGTTAGAGTTCAATGATTATTATTAAGAACCCCCAAAATAGACAAAAATAATGTGTTTTAGCTCAAGTTTGTTGTACTGATTTGCAAATTGAAATGTAACTTGAATATATGTAGATATCTAAAACTAATCAATGTCGAAACAAAAGTGCGCCTAAATGACGTGAAACTAATCAGAGCCCAGGGCGTTATTGACGTGAAACAGATCCTGGTCAAAGGTCAAGACGTGAAACTGATCAAAATCCGAGGTTTGATTGGCCTGATCAGTGTCCACTGTACATGTATTGTAACTCCTATATGCTATCTGTTGCATTTGGAAATAAAGAAATTGAAAACTGAAGTCCACATCCTAGATCTCGTGAAACTTTTTGTCCAGGCTCTATGTACAAAACAGACCATAATGTCACACGCAAATCTGACGACCAGCGCTCATCTACAGCGTACTTTAATATTAGACAAGTGCCCCTTTTTTATTTTTTTTAATCAACCCCCTCTCCCTACACCCCCGTCACAGTCTTTGTCCCTATACACTATTTGAAATGTTATTTAGATCACGTGATTTCAACATCCGATCTTAAACAACCGAAATCACGTTGTCTTCTGAAAATCAAGCTTGTACTGAAATGAGGTTGGTCTGCAAAAATAAATTCAATATGTATATTAAGTATATTAAACTTGTACATGCCAAAATATATACATGTAAATTATTCCCGATCTGACGAAGCCGGACGCCATGGTTGTCAAGGCAACCAAACAGGTTTAGGTGATATATCTTTAATAACTGTACCGCGATCATCATATCTCCAGTTTTATCTCCCCGAGCGATACGTTATCTCGGTTTTAACATACCAACAACAGATGGTGGGCCCCGGTCAGTTGACATTAATTGTATCCGGAGAGAAAAACGATATGAAAAGAGTAAGAACGTTCACATTCAAGCGAATGTGTATTTGTATGTGGGAAAACATCTATATTCCGAAAAACACAGGATCTAACATCCCCGTTTGGAATAGAAAGGTTTTAGGATAGCAAAGTTTTGTTTACATATAGCAGTTTAAGATACAGGGCTACAGTGGGACCTAGTTGAAGATCTGGCTTATACAGGTGTACAGATTATTCAGGGTTACATAAAAATACAAACAGCGGGACCTAGTTGAAGGTCTGGTTTATACAGGTATACGGAATATACAGGGTTACATAACAATGTATATATACAGTAGGAACTAGTTGACGGTCTGGTTTATACAGGTGTCCATATCATACAGGTTTACACAGAAATGTATACAGAAGGACCTAGATGAAGTTCTGGTTTATACAGATATACAGATTATACAGGGTTACATAAAAATACAAACAGCGATACCTACATTTGTAGTTGTACAGGTATACGGAATATACAGGGTTACATAACAATGTATATATACAGTAGGAACTAGTCGAAGGTCTGGTTTATACAGGTGTCCATATCATACAGGTTTACATAGAAATGTATACAGAATGACCTATATGAAGGTCTGGTTTATACAGATATACAGATTATACAGGGTTACATAACAATGTATATACAGTAGGAACTAGTTGACGGTCTGGTTTATACAGGTGTCCATATTATACAGGTTTACATATAAAAGTATACAGAAGGGCCTAGATGAAGGTCTGGTTTATACAGATGTACAGATTATACAGTGTTACATAACAATGTATATGTACAGTAGGAACTAGTTGAGGATCTGGTTTATACAGGTGTCCATATTATACAGGTTTACATATAAATGTATACAGAAGGGCCTAGCTGAAGGTCTGGTTTATACAGATGTACAGATTATATAGTGTTACATAACAATGTATACATACAGTAGGAACTAGTTGACGATCTGGTTTATGCAGATGTCCAGATTATACAGGTTTACATAGAAATGTATACAGTGGGGCCTAGTTGAGGGACTGGTTTGTACAGGTGTCCAGATTATAAAGGGTTACATAGAAATATATACAATGTGACCTAGTTGAAGGTCTTGTTTATACAGATATACAGTTTAAACAGGGTTCAATGAAAATGTGTACAGTGGGACCTATTTGAAGGTCTGGCAGATTTAAGCGTAACTATGACAATGGGTACTGAAGTTGTCAAGTTTTACAACTTTTTTAAAGAAATCAATATATACTTATCCACCTATTAAACATATCTAAACGATTTATCTACAATCTATTCTAATGGTTTAAAACGGTTGATAACATTCGTTTTTGATTAAAACAACAAAAATTCAATGACTGTCCGTTTGAATCACTGTCCCTAAAACAAAAGGTCTTGTGACTCAGATATCGACTTATATCCACGTGGATACATAACTAAATCATCATGGATAATTCAAGTTAATATATGTTAATATTCCTGACGAATAGCTGAACGAATCAATTTTCAAGTTTCTTATTTTCAACTTGTATAATAATTGTAAAAGTACTAACATTGCTGGTACTAGCAAACTTCTATTCTTTCTTTCAATTACCCAGGCTGCTCCTCAAGGTTCATTCAACACTCTCTATTCTATGGGATACCGCGCCAAACTTTTCTTCCAGACGATGTCGACTTTAAATTGTTCAGTCCAGACCTTTATCTACCTTGATTACCAACAATATAAAAGTCACTGAAATCTTTTGGTTCTTAATCAACTTTTAGATTTACTTGTCACGAAGGGCTTTTACATATCGTTATACTCTTCAGAGCAGCTAGACCCACATTGATCTCACTCAGATAGGCGCTCAACAGACTCCACTGCCATGTTTTAAAGTTCAAAACGTTGATGCGACGCAGACTGCGTATGAAACGCTACTAAGATAGACACCTGGGTATTTGGGCAGATGGTACCGATCATGTGAAACGTTTGCAAAGAGATTTTTCCGAAATTAAACATTTCAATATGTTGGAGATGATCTATTTTACAGGCAACAGCACTTCAGGATACTTTTGGAACTCTTTGATGATTTATTTAGTCCAATGATTATCACTTATCTCCCCTATCAGTGGAACTCTTTTGATGAAGAGATCAGAAAAACCTCAAGGTTTTATTTCGTTTTTACTTGGTATAACATTACATTATTACCAAGACAGTTGTGCTGGAGTACGTTTCGTAGATGACCAATGTTTTGTACCAGTTACAGGTACTTAGGGGATTGGTATTCTATCTAGAATGTTAAAATGTTTTAATCACCGTCAACGGCAGATGATCATTTAAGCAAGGAATAGCAGTTTTAGAAATAAGCCGTATGTGATCGTTCTGTGTCATCAGTTAAAACCATATTCGTGAAACAGTCTCACGTCATCTAAATGCTTGCATCTTATTGTGGTCTCACGTTATACGAGGTATGAGGAGAAGCGTCAAAATGACACAGATCAAATTGCGTTCATACTCCTAGAAATTCAACTGTACAAGATTTACAGTGAAAAGGTAAATAAACATGTGTATTCGTTAGTATGACCAAGGGACGGACTCCAACACGACTCGATGCCCTTAACGACTTTTCTATTTCAAGATGATCACTGTCGTTAATACAAAAAAATCAAATACATTTGTTTGGGTATTCAAGACACTAAGAACTTTCATACCTGGACTATTTCCAACTCCAATATAATTTCTATTAATTATTTATTGGTCGCTATGATCCTCGTATAAGAGAAATGTCTCATTTGCTTTTATCAAAAGTGACAAACCCAGATAAACACGGTTATAATCTGTTATCTTATATATCGTTGCCATGTTTCAAATCTTCCAGAAACAAGCGATAATCATTTACAGAATCTGTATTGTTTAGCATTGTTTATTTGGAATCCAAATATTTATCCTACGTCCATCGTCAATGGTACCGGTCAATGCTCCCCCAAGATGGGTAAGACAGGAAAGATATCATTAACCGTAAACCAATTGTTAGGATATTCAACCCAGATTTACGACCGATAAAACAAGAAAATAATAGCAGTGATTATACATTGTAAAGCAAAGAAATAAAACAAATGCTAAAACCAAAAATTCCAGACCATTCTTGGATTCTAGAACAGTGACTCCATAGAGCAGCTCGATTTTTCTTCTTTCTGATAAAAAAATTTAATCTGTTTACATAGAAATTTTATTCAGTTTACAGAGATTTTCTACTTGTTACATTATCAGAACAATAGACTTTATAAGAAGTTGCAACTGATAGAGGTTTTTTTATCCATCACACTTTGATTTATATTTAAATTCCGACTGTTTGTATGGAAACGCCTCAAATACCTAGATTTAGTATCAACAGAAATTTTGGCAAAGATCATTCTAGAGTGTATCCCCAGTTTGATTATCTCTCAAGTGAGGGATATTATTTTGTAAACGAAGACATAACTCTCTGTATGACTTTGTAAACTAACCTCGCTAGTGTTATGTAATATTAGCAACAGGGAAAATAGCAAAGTCCAGCTGTTCAAAGTTTGGTTAGCTTTGCGAAAAGTTTACTTTTTTATCTAATGAATAAATACATTCAATAAGTTATAAAGTATTGATTTTTACCAAACATGCACAGATTTTTTTTTGTGAAAATGGCGAAATGTATAGAAACACATGAATATTAAAAAAAAATTGTAAAAAAATGAAAAATATAAATTTTTGATTGACGTCTCGTT